TCTGTATAGGGAGCACGGTCTGTTAATGAAGGCCGTATATTGTGAACATGCACGAGCATAACGTATTAAAAACGGCATGTACGCACCGTACGATAGAACAGAAGGTATGTTACTGCTGAGAAATGGGAAAAACAGGCGGAAGATACAAATGGGCTAGAAAAAGCCATGGGAAAAAATGAAAATCCATCAAAAGACAAACAGCGGTGTACTAAACACCACTTGCAAACCTTCGATGTCATTTGGTTTCTTGTGGCGAGGTGTCTCATGGACAATCATACCACATCTTCTTATTTTTTATATGCAAGTTGACAATTGAAAAGTTGATTTCATCACGTTTGTCATAGATTCAAGTTTCAAGTCGTCACTAGCGAGAAAAAGGCCAAGATATGAAGCAGCCATTTTCGATACGGTAATATCCGTAATCTTTAGTTCACTGGGATATATCATATGCGAAGCACTCACTGAAATGTTGATTAATGAATGATAGGATATCTTCAACATAAGTGAAATTAATGAACTTAGCAGATAAATCTTCGTTTTTGTCTTTAAGATGATTATGTATAAATCCTACTTCATACAGGCGGAAACCCAGTTAAAATTAAACAAAAGAAATGGAACTCTTTGTTAGAGAAGGTAAAAAAGGCCAAGTTGGTAAATTTTAATTGTTTACATCTGTTTCTATGGGCTTTAAAAGTTTAATGAGTGTGTCTAATTTAGGATTTTATGCATCTTATGTATGTGTTTTTTTTTTTATTAAATTATGGTATGGAACTTCGAGATATTTGAAAACTTCAAAATTATAGACAAATTTTCACAAAAATGTCGATTGTGGTAGGTGCAAGTACATGTGGATCTTTTTTGTGCATAATCATCAATTCCGCAGAAAAAAATTCCAAAGAAAGATAATGGATTGATCTTTTTAAAGCATTAATTTGCATCAATGCCCTCGGCGACAGTTTTTTGGGGAAAAATCCCAAAATGGGCAATAATTTCATCGAAAAGAGAAAGTCGAGTACACCTTTTTATGTTCAAGCTGTTTGAGTTGACTATTCTGTCTTGAAATCGTATAAAAAAAAATATTTGATACATCATCTTGTTTCAGATTCTATTATTTTTATATATCTAGGCTCTAGGTTGTTATAATAAAATTAAAAATTTACAGTACTAAAAAATGAAATATATGGGTCAAGTGAAATTCCTTTCTTATGAGTCATAACAACAGAGTAGGTGTGTTCGAATAACAAATTTTAACTAAAAGTACTTGACGACATACTTTTTAAATGGATCTTAAAAATGCATTTTTTTGTGTGTGTTTTCTATGGTACTTAGTCTTCAACCTCTGAAAATTTTTAGTCTGCCCTTCCACGAAATATTAAATCAGATTTTTTTTTAAATATTTTTGAACTTTCGAAAATTCCCCCTGACAGCCGATCAGACAATAGTTTTATGTTGACCAAATGCATAAAAGTACATTAAATGGTGCTCAATAGCTAGTAAATACATTTGTCTTTTAAAATACAACTGGTATATAAGGATCGTAATAATGCTATGTGGATAAATTTATCGGTTTTCAAGAGCTTAATTGACAGCGCGTCATCACTACAATGGCTTCCATTTATACGATTATAAATATTAGGTGGCGTAATGGGGAGATAATTTTGACGAAGTAGAATCCTGACTGATACGAGTACAAAAATAAGTCGGTCAGTAGAGGCGCACAATTAACACGCATTAAAATACCGACCGTCTGTTAAAATATCAGTCCATTTGATAAATGTAAAGCAACATTTCGTATTTGAAAATAGTGTTTCATAAATTTTTGTTTTATGTTTTATTCTGATTGGTAATAACTACCCCATAAACATAACCCTTTCGGGAAGAGTTTCATTAGGATCTTGGAGTCAACAGAAGTGAAATACAATGTTGTTTAATCAAAATAATTATGATAAATGAAAAAAATTGAGAAGCGACACAAACTAAAAAATTACATTTTACAAGTTTTATCCTTAATTGTTATTCTGGTCTAACTATATATATATATATAAGTATTACCCATTGATCGTTGTTTTTATAGTGATTAAGATTACCTATTATGTCTGTTTGTTTTGCTCACACATTGTTGTCAATATAATGGAATTCTATTTCTATTAATCATCAAGCATATTAACGAATGCATTCTTTTGACAATAGGTGTAATAACGTACAATATGAACAGTTATTATCTGTATGTTCCTAGTGGACAATGTCTTGTTTTTTTTCTGTATTATTAAAAAGGTTTTGTTACATTTCTAATTAGTTTTAATTCAATTGGTGCTTGCAGTATTATATTTTAATGTATTGGGTTCACTGAAGCCAACAAAAGTCAAAATAAAGATAAGTTGCTATACGCATGTACTGTATTCGGAACAGATTTTATGAAAGTGATTAATGACACGCGAAACTATCATTACATATTCAAAACTATACTATATAACTTATATAATATTTGCTGAAATCCACATTTTGTTATTGAATATTGCTAATTTGTTTCAAAAACTTTTATTCTGCATATTTAAAACAAAAGCTAAATAGCTATAAAATTTCGTTATGGAATAAGTCATATATTTGGTTGAATAGAATAAGTGAATGAAAAGTTTAAAGTTAACAACGTCTACTATTGATCGCAAACAATTTTTGATACATATAAAGTGTAATTTCCAGATGTGTCATTCAGGGGATTAAAGATTTTTCCTCCTTTAAGACGTTATCAAACAAATTAGGTCTATAATTAAGTATACATACTCGTGTGTCTACATAAAACAAAAAGCAAATCCAAGCTCTGGCAAAAATGCAATGTCACTTTCGAAAGTATCAAAGGTAAACCATATGCTGGACCCTGATTTATACAAAAACAATAGGAGAAACATCATATCCATAGTTGTGGTAATAACGATCATTCACGTTATCTCATTACTTTGCATTAAGATCGTTCACGTTGTTATTGCATTAAATCATATGTATTTAAAAGATCTTAACAAAGCTAAAGTCATTAAAATACCAAAAAGTTGGAAACATTGCTCGGTTGTGTCCTATTCACTATCGTAATAGTTAAGCTAGTTTACCCATATCGGGTAATCCATGCATAGCAGGAGACGTTTATTCTATGCGACTGTCATACAAGTGAGAGGTTTAGCTAGCTATAAAACCAGGTTTAATACACCATTTTCTACAAATAGCTGTACCAAGTCATAAATATGACAGTTGTTTTCCATTCGTTTGATGTGTTAGAGATTTTGGTTTTGCCTTTTTATAAAGGACTTTCCGTTTTGAATTTTCCTTTGAGTTCAGTTTTTTTGTTTGTTATTTTACTTTTTACATAATCCAATCCGTTTTTCACCGAATGTGACTTTACAGAATTAGTAAATCACAGAAGCTGTACTAAAATAAGCAACAAAACAAGTGCCACATGTTGAACAGATCTGTTTACTATTCCGTAGCACCTGAGATAATCCCTTCTTATCAAGGATCGTGTTGTTTAGTGTTTAATTTTTATGTTTGTTTTTATTTTTTTTCGTCGTTTTTCACTTTTTGTCATGAAATTGTCGTTTACAGATGAGTTCAAATATCCCAGTGATATCTTTATCCTCTCTAATACAATGTTAGTACTAATGGTCTCGCTCATCTTTGAGTTCATGTCATTCCCCTTAGTTTGAAATCTTTAAGTTCATGCCATTCCCTTTAGTTTGAAATCTTCAAGTACATGCCATTTCCCTTAGTTTTAAATTGGTTTGCATTGATTAACAAGATTTGATCAAGAATATCGATAAACTACACCTAATACCTTTTTGTTTAAACCATACTGATTAAGAATGTTGTTTTAATGACAGACACAGATAATGGGGAGGTTTGTACGCAAGTAAAACTAACAATTAACCTCAACATGTTTGTACATTTACCAAGTCAAGTTATCTAAACCATTTGTTGTTCATTTTAGTCTATTTGTGCTTTTTTTTCGCAGAAAGCAGATGTTGGTGATTTGTGTGGTACATTATATTATCCAATATTTGTCTTAATGTTATGCTGTACACAATAATTACATTTTCATTTAGCTTCATCTTAATCTGTCATTTACATCGCATATTTGCTTTCCCCTAGAGAGCTTCGATCCAAAATAATTTCAGTCTTTTTCCTAATAGAATAGTTATAATGCATTAGGGCTTGAATTCATATCGATCTGATCGCAGGGTGGCCCTTTATGCCGATATTTTACCCTTTGCTATCCTAAGTGATGAAATATTCAGCATAAAAGGCCAATCCGATGAAAAAGGAATATAAATCTAAGTCCCCATGCATTATTTCTTAAGTATTACACTGTCCATATAAAGGTCTATATTCGTAGATATTTGTAGTCTCTTGCTAGTATTTGGATGTCAAAATACTTCCTCATGTCTAATTAGTTTCCTTTTGTCGATGAAGAGGGGATTACAGACTAAAACTTCAGAGTGAGCCCTATTAACACATAAAGAACTCGCATTGTGTTGTTACATTTTGAATAGGAATGTGTACTGAAGAAGGCGATTTGTCGTGTCAAAGTATTTTTCGATGCGATTTCGTTTCATCGTGTTCGTATATTTTTGTCTTTCATCAGTATCGTTGCACATTTTTTAAAACTTTTTTAATGAATAGTGTATATATGAATACACCGTTCTTTAACATTGAAGCAACAAAAAGATATTTCCAACCTCAGATTACAATATGTTGGACGTATCTTATTAAATATGTTAAATAGTAAACTATAACTAGCACAGTGCACAGTAAAATGGATCTTCTTCAGTACAATTCACATACTTAAAATGTATTCCTTTTTCATACTCTTGTACTAAAACTAAACATGCATAGTTAGTTCATTTATTGGCGAATAATTTAAGTGAATTTTTGTTTTTTCCCCAATTAACCTCGTTACCAATGAAGATTATTAATAAAATTATATATATATATATGTTTGTAATAATGTTTCTTACCTTTCTATTGCCAGTCAATTTGAAAAATGCTGCATCATTTACGGTTAACAAATATCAACTGCGGAATACTTTAAATATAACCCTTATTCTTCCTTGTCTGTTTAACCAATTAAAAACATTCCTACAAATATTATTCATATTGTCGTATTAAAACTAAAAGGCTAACAAACAAAGATTCATGTGAGCTATGTCAAATAATTACTGAAGATTCAATAAGGTAGGACAAATTCTTCTATATTTGTTTCACTCAGAATTGCAGAATTGAACAATCTTAAAAGTTGTATTCACAAACATTTTTTGTCATTATTTTATCTTTAACAAGTTCAGTAAAATATTTAGACAACTTGCCATTTCTATTAAGTGGAAGGTATTAGGTGTCAACTATTTATATTCTTAAAACAGTGAAATCTTTAAATCTAAAACAGTTATTTTTTAATATACAGAAAAACATTCCCTATCAAATTCCGCTTCATGACAGTTCGCTCTGGAGTATGAAATGGAAGTAATTTAACAAAGATATTGGGTTAAATCTTGGTCTTCTTGTCATGCCTGTGTTAAATTATTACATCTTTCTTAAACTTTGGTACATTCAAACCAATTTTTGTTCTTGAATTTTCAAAAGATTTTTTTGTAAGTAAACTAAATTCTTTAAATAATTCTTTTTTGTTGTAGATTAACAAATACACTTAGTCAGATATGATTGACTGACTGAATATCAAACAAGAATGAAATTTATGAACTGGTGTTGCTCCATCGTTCTTTTTGTTTCTTGTTTTTTCAACATCGTTAATTGTAAATATATACGCTTCAAGGGGAATTATGAGTACAGTTATCACTACATCTCTGATTCAACCATACATGGATTGGGAAACTTCAAGACGGATGCAAAGGTTTGTTAATATAATTAATTTAAATTGGTTGCGAAAGCTAAAAAAATGATTGCAATACAATTTAATATTCCCATTGCGCTCTTTTATTTTCGACAGCCTATTAAGGTATCAGTTTCCGGTGCATGTCAAAACATGGCGTGAAAAAAATAATACATTTGTTCTGATTTTTTTTTCTGGACTCATTTTTTTCTGTTTGATTAAAAGTTTATGCTGAATTGAAACATATATTTAGATTTAAAAAAAATCTTGCATCTTTTTGGGGATATCAAACCAGGAAAGTGGACGGATATCATGTTTACTGGAAGTGGTGCGGCCTAGTGAAAACACCAAATAGAAAGTAGAAAAAATTAGTTTTGACTTCAGGGTTTTTTTTATTCTTCGTGGCATGACCCTTTTTTTCGATTAAATCACAATTTCACATCACTACATACATGATATGCACATGAAAAAAAATTCTATGCAGCATTTTGTTTTGAAATTTTTTGAAAGATGTTTTGCATGTAAACCTATTGAGCAGCCAATTACAAGACTGCAACCTGCATAGGGGATTTTATTTCCTGTGTTCACTTTAAGGAAGTAGCTCATGTGGACTTTTGTGTGCCCAGAATGACAAATCATCACGATTTAAGTACTTTTTAATAAATAAAAAGCATGGGTATCAAGTTAAACTGAAAAAACTGAAATTATGTAATAATTATGATTTTTTATAAGACACCATACAAAAGTATAAAAAGATATAAAGCACAACAGTTTGAGGTAAATTGAGATTCTGGTAGTATTCCATGTATGATTTTCAATTAAAAAGAACATAGAAAGATTTTTTCCTCCATGAAAACTTCTTCTTGTGATGAAAATTCTAGTTGGACAGTTTCATTGAAAATCAGTGTAAAGTTGAATAGACAGCTAGATACAAAAGTAGTTTTTTTCTTTAGTGTTATTATTTTTATGGCTCAATTGTTGACATCTAGGTAGAATATATATAAAATGAACTTTTGGTGAAAAGATTTTCACAAAATGTTCACTTTACAAGAGTCTATGACTTCTTTTCCTGTCTGCGGCACTGCATCCTTAATTGAAAATTCCATATTTGGGTTAAAAATTTGTTTAAAAAGTAGAATTTTTCTAATACTATCCACGATGACAAAGATTTTTGTGCTTAGGTGTGACAAGTAATCAATATTCTTACCAAAACACCAACTTGAGTATTCATTTTGTTTATTCTAGGATTTTATTGCAAATTTTATATGCATAGGGGTGTGAAGTACAGCCTAAAAACAATCATATAGTAGGCATGTATAAAGACATGTATTGTCAAAAAAGGTATAGTCTTTCTTGTCTTTAAAAAGTTGTATTGCAACAAATTCTTCAATATGAAAAAGTTATGGGGTAGTTTTTCAATTTGACTAAAACAAGAGGCCCACTTGGATAGATTTCATGGAAAAAAGGGGGAGGGGTAAAATATTGAATGTGGTTCGATCAAAGAGAAGGAAAAAAATAAAAATAATAAATAACAATTCTCTTATAGCTTCACAATATTCAAGTAATTAGTTAACATTCATAAAGATAAACTATAATGAGATTTACAGATCATTTGATAGGCATGACTTATTTCCAATTTTGCCTTGTTTAAGAAAATGGTATTATTTTAATAATGGGATTATATTTAATAATACAACTAAACAATTTTTTAAATGGCATTTCTTATGTTCAAATATGGCTACTTAATGAAACAAAATAAATTATTTATTTTTTTAAGACATGTCATTACAGTTATAGGTACCAGTTTTGTATTACAACTCCAGTTTTCGGTGCATGTCAAAACATGACGAGAAATAATATAGTCCATTTTTTTCTGATTTTTTTTCTGGACTCATTTTTTTCTGTTTGATTAAAAGTTTATGCTGAATTGAAACATATATTTAGATTTAAAAAAAATCTTGCATCTTTTTGGGGATATCAAACCAAGAAAGTAGAAGGATATCATATTTACTGGAAGTGGTGCGGCCTTGTAAAAACAGCAAACAGAAAGTAGAAAAAATTAGTTTTGACTTCAGGATTACATAACTTTTTATTCTTCGTGGCATGACCCTTTTTTTTTATTAAATCATAATTTCACATTACTACATACATGATATGCACATGCAAATTTTTTTTTATGTAGCATTTTATTTTTTAAAAAATTCAAAGATCAGCTGTTTTGCATGTAAGCCTATGGAGCAGTCAATTACAAGACGGCAACCTTAAATGTCTACAACTTAAGTTTCCCAAAATATCTTTTGCTGCTGGCAGTGGAATTTAATATGATTCTGTTCTTCCACTTCTCACGACGGTAGACCTTATATGTTGAAAATGTATCAGTGAAAACCATATGTTGCTGTGCTACTGTTCCTGATTAAGAGGCTATCACTACAAAAGTCTAAAAGTCTGAAAAGACCAGTTTTTGTCTTAATTTGCACTTTTACTCGACATTCTCCAAAAGTATGACTTGTGTCTTAATTTTTTTTTGACATATTCTCATTTATATTAAATTTGTATGAAATTTACTCGACATATTCTCGACATTCTGAATATGGTCTTAAAATTTCTTGACAAATTCTTGACATTTGAATACTGTCTTGAAATTTCTCGACATATTCTCGACATTCTTATTTTTTCTCAGTATGGCTTGACATATTCTGAACATTTTGAATGGTGTCTTAAATTTACTTGACAGTTCTGAGTTTTACAAATCATGACCAATATTCATGATATAACTTTAATCTTTATTTCTCTTTTTATGATATACTGTTGTTTCAAGTTACACTTCTTTACAACAAAAATAAAAGTTGGGCATGTAAAATAATTGAAAATTTGGGTATATAAATATTTTTACAAATGCAAATATGGCTATGAAATCTAAAGTATAAAATAATTCAAATGTGTGTGTGTTGATATAAAACAATTTCAATGTGGGTTTTTAAATAATTACAAATTTTGATTCCTAAATCTTATAAATTAAATGATTCAAACCAATCATACTGTAGACATATTTCATTCTACATCCATAATATTCAATGTTGATATGGTAAATAATTATTATACCAAAATGTGGTTTATATAAATAGCAAATTATGATATACAAATCATTCATTTAACAGAAGAAAAATTTGTGTAATGTCATCTGTTGGAATATATTAAGTATTACACATGGACAGGATGTTCCCCATAAAATTAAGGTATTCCACACCCCAGAGTACATGCAACTGTCAAATAGAAGTTATTGCTTTACCTGTAATCAGCCATACAACTTATCAGTTGACCGACCATGCCACTACAATTTAAAAAGTTTGTTGATAGATGAAAATGAAAATCATCATTTTGATGAAAAAAAATTGAATTGAAATGGATTTTCTTCATCAAAATTATGAAGTTAATTATTTTAACATAAAAACAAATTGAATAATTCCCAAAGATTAAAAGAAAATTATTATCTACTCCAGGAATAATAAAAAAAATGTATTTATAATGGGTCCCATCAATGATTTCTATAGAAATCATCGGTCTTATGAAATGGTTCTCAAACAGACATGCATAATATAGATCTAAACATTTTTTTCTTTTCAGGAAGGAGTTATCACAAATATTTATTTTTGATAAAAAATTATAAAATTCAACACTCAAATTTGAATAAAAAATGTTTTTGGGTTGTTTTAAAAAATGAATAAGGTTTTTGAATCAAGATGGGAACAAATTTTTTGACCTAAACGAAAGGCAACCCCCCCCCCCCCCCCCCTCTTTTTTTAGCCACACAAACCCAAAAGATGAATTGTGGGGTCCAAAAGAGATACAAGACACTTATTTTAGAAAAGCAATTTTGACTGGCAGTTTTGCGAACGGCAAAAATCTAAATGCTGTTTGTCAATACCTTCGACTTATATTCCAAGTGAAAACAATTACTTAAATGTTTAATAAAATAAATCAAAATTAAACTACATGGGGGATTATTCAGGGTATTCCAACTTAGTTGCACCAAAAGGGTACTTTACTGTACCAAATTAATCCTTGATTCTTCAAAGTTTAGTTTAGCCATAATAAAAAGGAGTATATAACAGCAATAAAATGTCATAAACAGTGCAGAATAAGTCTGTTCACATTTCAGGCGAAATTTATACTGTTGAGATAGTGTCAAGACATATTTAAGACTGTCAAGAATGTGTCGAGACATATTCAGACATTATTTAGAATGTCAAGAATATGTCGAGACAGATCGAGACAAATTTAAGACAGTCAAGAATTGGTCGAGACTAATCCAGACTCTTATCAGATGATTCAGGAAGTGTCGAGAAATTTTATGACAATGTTCATACTGTCAAGACACTTGTGAAGAAAAATCAAGAACCTTATTAGACAAATTCATACTATGTCATGAATTTTTAAAAATTATTCAGACAAATTAAGAATGTCGCGTAAAAATTCATGCAAATTCAGACAAAAACTGGTCTTTTCAGACTTTTTGACTTTTGTAGTGTATATATATCAGGTATTACATCAAGCGCAATAATCATCGTCTTCTTCTTTTGTGAGTTTGGAAAATATGGAAATATTCAAAGTTGTTGAAAAAATGTTTACAGTATGTCATATCTGACTCTATAAATTCTTACGGTATTAAGAATTTGTTAAAAAAAAATAAGAAACAAATACAAGGGAACTAGATCTTACCTCTTTAATTCGTAAAACGGTATTTGTTGAACATATAACGGTTATGAATTAAACACTTTATTCCCCTGAAATTAAAATAAACCTAACTTTGTTATGACTATGCAAATAGAATCTGTATATGTTACACTTGTCATCGTGTAACTATTCCACTTTGAAAAAAACGATAAAAAAAAATTGACGGAAGATACCAAAGCGAAAAAAGGTTCAAAACTTAACTGTTTTCTGTAAAAATTATACACGGAATCTTGGGCACAAAATATTTTATTTCAAAATCAAAATAATCCAAAGCGATAAATATAAAC